AACTTGACACAAGCTAGCCACTGAAATGAGGAACCTCAATTGAGAACATACCTCTATCAGATCGCCTATATGCACATTTGTAGGATATTTTCTTGATTAATGATTGATGTATGAAGGCCCAGTCTACTGGGGTAGATGCCACCCTAGGATGGTCCTGGGTGAGATAATAAAGCAGGCTGAAAAGCCATGGGAAGCAATCCAGTAAGAAGGGCTCTTCAATGGTTTCTGCTTCAGTTCCTGCCGCCCAGATTCCTGCTTGAGTTCCTGTCCTGATTTCTTTCCATTAATGGTCTGTGATGTGGAAGTATAAGCCAAACAAACCATTGTCTCCCCAACTTGCTGTTGGTTATGGTATTTTAGAACAGTGATAGAACCATAGCTAATACATTTCTGAGCATCTCTGAGACAGAGTTGGTTCTGTGGTGGTGTTAGAAAATCAAGATGTTGTCCACATCTATGAACAGAATTATTCTAGAGACAAAAGCTGGAGATCAACACACCTTTAGCAATATACCATAACTTGGCTGTTTAATCATATTGAGAAAATAGGAAATTGAATTCCTTCCCTAACCCACATGTCCTGCAGTAGAAGATTAGGAGAAAGGAGTACATTTTTCTGTTTCCATGGAAATGGACTTGATCAGAAGGGCAAGAGATGTGTAGTGATCACCTAGATAGGAGAATATTGTCTTCCTACACGGGGCATGTTGTTATGGATGAGAAGGAGTACCAGCATGGTGACCAGACGCCAAGAAAGGAAAATAAAGACTTGGGATTGTTTTGTTCAAAAGACACTGAGATGTGGTCAAATAGTTGTAGAAACAAACATTTATGGAACATATATATTGAGAGTAAATACTTTTTCTCTAAGAAAATGAAAGTGGGTAGGTAGAAAGTTGAGACAGACCTAGAAAGAACTGAGGGTAAATATAATCAAAATATATTGTATGAATTCTTTTCCCATTTATTGAAAATAGATTCTTTCCTTATACGATATATTCTGATTGCAATTTTTCCTTCCTCTACTCCTTCCAGATCCTCTTCATTTCCCCTCTCATCCAGTCCCTTTCTGACTCTCATGAAAGAATGAGCTTCTAAGAGATAACAACAAACATGACAAAAATAAAATATAATGAGATAAAACAGAAACCATCACATCAAAGTTGAACAAAGAAGCCAACAGAAGGAAAAGAGCCCAAGAGAAGCCAGGAATTCCATAAAAGTACTAAACTGAAAGCTTATATATATATATATATATATATATATATATATATATATATATATATATATATGACCTGTTGCAGACCCTAGCAGGCCCTGTGCCTACTGCTTCTGTCTCTATGAATTCATAAATGCTTTGCTCAGGTGATTTAGGGGGTCTTGTTCTCCTGGTGTCCTCCATCCCCTCTGGCCCTTACACTCTTTCTTCCTCCTCTTTTGTGAGGTTCCCTGAGCTCCTAAGGGAGGTATTTGGAGATATCCCATTTAGAGGTCTCTCACTCTCTGTGTAATGCCTGGCTGTGGGTCTCTGTATGTGTCCCCAACTTTTGCAAGAGGAAGCTTTTCTGATGATGGCCGAATAAGGCACTGATCTATGAGTATAGCAGAATATCATTAGAAATGATTTTACTACTACTTTTTATTTTCATTTAATACCAGTAGTATTTGGTTTCATCCTAGATCTCTTGGATATCTAGTCTGGTTCTTAAAAGGTTGGCCACCCTCTCCACACCTGTTCAGCATAGTACTTGAAGTTTTAGCTAGAGCAACAAAACTACTGAAGGAAATCATGGGGATAGTGATTGGAAAGAAAAAAATCAAAGTATCTTTATTTGTGGATGATATAATATACAGAAATGACCCTAAAAATTCCACTATGGAATTCCTACAGCTGATAAACACGTTCAGCAATGGAGCTGGACATAAAATTAACTCACAAAAATCATTAGCCCTTCTGTATGCAAACGACAAACAGACTGAGAATGAAATCAGTGAACCAACACCTCTTACAGTCTCCTTAAATAACATTAAACATCTTGGGGTAACTCTAATCAAGCAAGTGAAAGATTTGTATGATAAAAACTTCAAATCATTGAAGAAAGGAATTGAAGAAGATATCTGAAGATGCCAAGATCTCAGATGCTCATGGATCGGTGGGATTAACATAGTAAAAATGGCCATCCTACCAAAAGCAACTTAGAGATTCAATGCAATCCCCATCAAAATTCCAACACAATTCTTTACAGATCTTGAAAGGACAATTCTCAGCTTCATATGGAAGCACACAGACACACAGACACAGACACAGACACAGACACACACACACACACACACACACACACACACACACACACATACACACAAAACCAAACCAAACAAAATAACAGAATAGCTAAAACAATTCTGAATAATAAAAGAACTGTTGGAGGTGCTGTTACTCTCAATTTTAAGTTGTGCTATAGAGACATGGTAGTAAAAACAGCATGGTATTGCATAAAAACACTCATTGACACACAAATTGGCATCAATTTGAAGACCCATGCATAAATCCACACACCTATGGAAACCTGATTGTTGCTAAAGAAACCAGAAATAAACTAGAAAAAAGACAGCCTCGTCAACAAATGGTGCTGGTCAAACTGGATATGTGAGTATAGAAGAAGGCAAATGAATTCATATTCATCACCATGCACAAAACTCAACTCCAAAACGATCAAAGACAACATAAAAGAAGATACACTGAACCTGAAGAAGAGAAAGTGGAAAATAGCCTTGAACTTGTTGGTGCAGAGATGATTTTCTGAACAGAACACTGATTGTGCAGGAGCTAAGATCAACAATTAATAAATGGGACCTTGTAATACTGAAAAGCTTCTGTAATACAAATGGGAAAAGATTCTTACCAACTCCATATCCAATAGGGGACTAATATCCAAAAATATAAAAACTATAAAGAACTCAAGAAACTAGACATCAAAAGCCCAAATAATCCAAGTGAAAAATGGAGTACAGATCTAAATAGAAAATTCTCAATAGAGGAAACTCCAATGCCTGAGAAACACTTAAAAAAGCATTCAACATCCTTAGCCATCAGGAAAATGCAAATCAAAACTACTTTGAGATTCTATCTTACACCTGTCAGTATGACTAAGATCAATAACATAAGTGGCAGCTCATTCCAGTGAGGATGTGGAGCAAGGGGACCATTTATACATTGCTGGTGGGATTGCAAACTCATAAAAAAACTATGGAAATCAGTGTGGCAATTCCTCAAAAAGATGGGAATTATCTACCTCAATGTCTAGCTCTATCACTCTTGGGCATATATCCAAAGGATGCTTCAACCTAACACAAGGACAAATGCTCAACGATGTTCAGTGCTCCTCTATTCATAGTGGCTAGAAACTGGAAACAACCTAGATGTCCCTCAACAGAAGAATGGATAAAGAAAATGTGGTACATTTATACAATGGAATACTACTTAGCTGTTTAAAAAAATGACATCATGAAAATTGCAGGCAAATGGATGGAACTAGAAAGAAATCATCCTGAGTGAGGTAACTCAGACCCAGAAAGAGAAATATGAAATATATTTGCTTGCATGCAGATATTAACCATTAAGTAAACAATAGCCAAGCTACAATCTGTAGACCCTGAGAAGATAGGTATAGAGTAAGGGACTAGGGAGTACATGGATCTCCCTGGGATGGGGAACAGATTTTATGCATGGACTAGCAGGGGTGGACAGGAACGGGAGGATCAGCTGGGGAGAAGGAGGGAATGTGAAATTGAGGGAGGGAATTTGGGGAGGAGGAAGGGATATGGGATAAGGAAGGGAATTCAGGGAGAGACAGATAGACTTAAGGGGCATTTGAGGGGTGATGTGAAAAACTTGTGCACTGGAAACCCCCTAAAAGATACGAAGGCAATCCTAATGATGTCTATAAATAATGGAGGTGATGGAGTCCTAACTGGCCATCTCTTGTCACCAAATAAAGCTTCCAGTATCAGGAATGGGTTTCATCAAATTGAGTTGTTTGGCCAAAGGGGTCCCATGGAAATTCTCAAACAACCCAGGCTGTTGCCAAGACAATAGATTGCTCTCCACAAACTGACAGCAAGGACCTATTGCTGAACACAACACCCACACAACTCATTGACTATGGAGAGGTAGAACTAGTACCTACAAAGAACCTTCACCTCTATATTCTAGTGTTCTTGATAAAGGTACTCAGCAGGCTACCAAAAGAGAAACATAAATACTAACTCAGCCACAAAGCCTTTGGTATACAATACTGTCCAGCTGTAAAATATGCTAGGACAAGATGGGAAAAAGCTGTGGGAGTAACCAACCAACATCTGATTTGACTTTTAAGGCCTATTGCATGATATAGAACCCACATCCAACACTACTTGAGTGACCAAGAACCAGAGACTATGAAATTCTTAAAGAATTAATAAAATATTATTTTTTTAAATTAAAAATTAATATATATATATACATACATATATATGCCAATATCCCCACAAGCACAGAGACACACATTAATACATGCTATCAGAGGTACTAAGAGTCATGTGGAAGATGCTGCCTTTAGGATATTTAGGACTGAGAATGATGTCTCAGGGAATGATAATTAGGCTGAAATGAATGATGCCTAGTGATAAGAATAAGAATAACAAAAGCAAGAATGGGTAGACATTGGTACTTGCTGTGTGCCAGGGATCATATTTAATGCTTACGACACACCATCTATTTCTTCAGAGTACATAAGTAAAAAGAACTAACCCTATAAAGGTGATGAAAAAGAGTCTCAGAAAGTTAAGAAAGTGACCAAGATGAAGTCATTGGTGAGAAACAGCTGAGAGATTTGAGTCTGTGTCTATATAATTCCAAAGCCCAACAACCATTATTGTAGTGTATTAGGCAGTTCTTTTATTACTGTAACAAAATACCTGACACTTGGTACTTATTTTTAAAAATGGTTTATTCAGCTCATAGTTTTGGAAGTTTGAAGATTCTAGTTCAGTTCTGATGAGTTCCAATTGGCATATGGTATAGGGAACAGTGTTGGCAGGGTTGTCTGATGGAACAGCCACATCTGGAGCTGGGAGGCAGAGACAACTATGTGGGACATACTTGCTCTTTGTGTTGGGACGCACATTCAGAGATTGTGGTCCAGTGACCTAAGGACCTCCCATAACTCTTAAAGATTCCATGACACATCAGAGTGCCCTGACCTGAGGATTAAGTCTCTGACCACACAAACCTTATACATTATACCCAAACAGTAGCAAATATTCAAGATGTTCATGAAGTGTTGGGTAACCCAAACCCTCTGGAAGGGTAGCATATTACCTATTTCTGAGATTTCGTTCTAACCTTAGATTGAATCTCCAAACATAGAATCAAGCATGTCATAAAGGAATACTGCAATAAAGGATATGTTGGGGGGCAGGGACTCCCCACTCTAAGAAAAGTCTTCTTCTGGCTTCTTCACCCTGGGCCCAGAATAAATCTCAACAACTGGTTCTCTCCCTCTTTTGTGACAAAATTTTTATACTCCCTCTCTCTGAGCTCTACTTGTCTCTAAAACCACTCTCTCTGTTCTGAGGTATGGCTGCCCCTCCCGTGCTTCCTGGAAGTTCACTGGCCTCCTCCCCGGAGCAGAAGGTGGAACTGGAGCGTCATGAGCTGCTTTCCCTCACACTGGTTCTGAGGAGACAGCTTGTGGCGGTGCTATGAAGAGAATGCTTTACAAAGCTCTCAAAGGTGTCAAGGAGCTGAAGCAAGCAGCAAGAGCCTGAGGAGAGATCTGAGGGTTGCCTGTGGGGTGTGGAGAGTTGTCATATAAAAAGGAACAGGACAATCTGATGATTTCTTGATCATTAGATGAGGATTCCTTCACCCAGTGGTCTCATTTGATCCATGAAGCTGTTGAATAGGTGTTAGAACTTGTCTGAGATTGCTGGGGATGATAGAAAAACTGGTTTGTTGAATATTATTTTAACTACAATGCTACCACACAAGCGAACAAGTACTCCATTGGAGGGGAGGCTCTCTTTTGCTGTCACTATGTGAATAGGAGTTGTTAATCTCAGAAGCATCCATACACCATTGCCCAATTGAAGTATGTGAGCTTGTGTGTAATTTTAACATTTCTACAAATCACCTTAAAAATATAAGGAAATAGGGGAAGCTAGCCTATTATTATATGTATTTTACTTAACACTACAAATTTAAATGTTTTCAACATTCCATCTCAGTATTCATTATAAGACTTAATACAGCATTTTACATTCCACAATGCTGAAATCCAGTGTGTTTTTTGTACTCAAGGAATCTCTTGATTTAGACTACATACATTTCAAATGTTTAGTAAGCTATAAGTACTGTGTCAGAAGATACAAAGGACTAGGTGACTCCAAACATATTGTTCCTTGATAAGCATTCATTGAGCAATTACTGTTTCTAGACATAACACTAAGCCCTCCATGAGTAACAATTTATGCTGGGGGTGGGCGGTAAGAATGCCTCAGTGATTGAAACTCTAATCACTAAGTGATAGGGACTCCACTTCAGAAAGAATGAGTTTGCATTCTTTTATTTCAATTCTCAGCAGAAGGTGATAATTATTAATCTTTCATTAAATGAACTTAGTAACTCACATCTGACCAAAGTCATGTAGCTCCACATACATTGTTGGCTGTAGATAAAATGTGAGCATATGAGTTCTAGAGTTTATTCATTATACTTGACTAAAACTTTATCTATGATGTGTAACTTATCAATTCTAACTCTCCTTTGTCCTGAAATCAGCCAGTCCAGTCTTTGTTCTATGAATTTGACTCTTCTCAGGTATTTGAAATAGATAAAAATCTGATATTTGTCCTGATGTTCTCAAAGTTCATTCACGTTGTCACATATTGCATATTTTACTCTTTAAAGGCCAAATGGTCTTTCCTTGTATGTGTGTGTGTGTGTGTGTGTGTGTGTGTGTGTGTGTGTGTGTGTGTGTGTGTGTGTGTGTATGTGTGTGTATGCTACATTTTTGGTTTGTATACATCTTAATGTGTGTGCAGGTACACATTTGCATGTGTATAAGTGCCTGGGGATGCCAGAAGCCAGACTCAGGTGTCATTCCTCAGGCAGCATCCACATTTTGAGACAGAGTCTCTTCCCTGACCTGGAACTCTCCAAGTAAACCAGGCTGGCTGACCACTGAGTGCCAGGGAGCCACCGTTTCAGCACTGGGATTATAAGTACATACTTCTGGGCTTTTTAAAATGGGAATTAAACTTAAGCAAGCAATTTACCAACAGAGCTATCTCCCAGCCCCTACAAAACTTTCTTCATTTTCTGTTAGTGGTCATGTATGTGGCTTCTATGCCTTGGCTGTTGTGAATGATGCTGTAAACGAGACAGAAGTAGCCTTATTGCAGTAGAATGTCTTTAAGATTCTGATTTACTTTCTTTGAAATAAATACCTCAAAGTTGCGTTGATGGAGCACAGTGAGTCCCATTTTTAATGGTATTTGCAGAATCATTGCCCCATTTCCTATATTGGCTGCATGATTTTTATTCTCACCTGCAGTGTGGGAAACTTCTGGTTCCTCCAATATCATGCCAACACTTGACTTTAGTCTCTTCAGCCAAGGTATGAGAAAAGCATATATGCACATACAAAAGAAAGCAAGCAGACATTTATCCTATACTGTATACAAAAAGTATCTCAAAATTAATTATGAGCTTTTAAAGCTGAATTATGAGTGTTTAAAGTCAGAAACTATAAAGCCCCTAGAAGAAACCATAAGAAAAAATATGACATTATTCCAGGCAATGATTTCATAAATGTGACAACAGAAGCATAGACAACAACAAAAATAAGTAGGCCAGCATCAAATGAAACAACTGTACCACATAGGCCATCATCAACAGAGGGTGGGTAGCCTAAAAAATGCTTGCAAAGCATGTATCTAGTAAGGTGTTAATCTGATAACATTTGGGAATCCCACAACCCCTGTATGGAAAGCTGTTCGCAGCACTAATAAGAGAAATGCAAATTAAAACCACAAGGAAACACCTCATACCTATTAGAGAGCAGTTATCTGAAAGGCCAGAGACATCATCTGTTGTTCATAACCCACCAAGCCTGGATATTTGGGAGTCACAGAAGATGGTGCAATTGGTTGGGTCCTTGTTCCAATCCGATGATTTCTTATTGTCCTCATTAGGCAGTCCAACACTTTAGGCATTAGTCTCCGCTTTTCAGTTGCCCAGATTGTGAATATCATTCTGCCAAGAACTTTATCTGAGACATTATTAAATTTTAATAGGACAGTATCCATAAACATGCCAATCTAGAAAGTTCTGAGGTCAAGGTGCAAAAACAAAGTTGTGGCTACTGGGATAAATTTCAAGTAAGCATGAGTGACTGGCAATGTCAAAAGAAACGGGAGGTCAAGCCTGGAGGTCTAAGGAGCCATTTCATATAATGGTGGAGCAAAAGCCAGGCCAGAGGGGGAAAGCAAGAACAGTGAGAAGAGTGAAGCAACCTTCTGTACTGAGTCTCTTCTGTAAACACGCTCCATCAGACTGGACATCCTATAGTGGATGAGAACGGGCTTGAGAGAGACTCCAATTCTTAAGTGCATCACATTCTGTGAATGCTAACTTCCAAGTGCTTCCAGGTCATAAAAACGGTGTTATTTCTCATCCTCAATTTCATTCTCGTTACAATGAATCCATTCAAAGGAGAAATGAAATGGGAGAGATGGAGGGGTTATAGTTACCTTGATCAATTACCTGGATTCTGGGTGGGTGTTCTATAAGGGGCTCTGTTGTCTTGAAAACCACGAGAAAGCATTTTCAGAGTTTGCATGCTGGCTGCTATTCAGCTTACTCATAGTTTTTAATCCACAGAGAAAAAGCAGTGGAACAGAGAACAGGAAATTTCACCAAGCAGCAGGAACTGTTGAAATGGTTGCTCTGGCAAGAAACAACCCAGAATCACTAACCACAGCCCCAGACCTGTGTCTTCATTTCCTTTGCACAGTGTTTGGCCAGAAAACAATTGGGCTTAAAATATCACTCCTTCAACAACAAAAGAAAATACGTTGATTATTAAAATAACACATTGGACTATTTTGTTAAGAACTAGGCATGTTTTAGCTCATTTAATTTTTAGGAATATGTGAAGCCCAAATAGTTTTTTAAATCATATTTTATAGACTAGAAAATAAGGGAGAAAAATGAAAACTGACAGAGCTGAACAGTGGATGCCAGAGCCCCAGATCTCACATAAAAGTCACATGGTCTGTATTGTATGCAACAGGTCATTTAAACAGAGAAAACACACTAAGCACCTCTTGAAGAACCAGGAATGAGTGCCTGGATGTCAACGTCATGGAAGTAGCTGGATAATCAGAATAAGGCTTAGAAATTCCATCATGGCCACTAACAATAAATACATGTGATGTCTGTGGAGTCATAAACAAGCAAATCAGTTGAAAATTCAGCATGTATATTATAGACCATCATGTTCACTATTACAGCAATAGTACAAATTAAATCTGTCCTAAAACTAACAATCCATTGTTACTAGAGCAACCCAGATGTTGGTAGGAGGGTCACATGGACAAGAAGTGGTGGCATTTCACAGTTAAGGTCCTAAGTGGAACAGAAGGACTAAGGCTATCTCAGATGTTTACATGAAGGTGGACATGTCCTTTGCTTGTTCAGCATGGTAGCTGCATGTGTTCACTGAGTATTGGAAATGTAGTCAGCATGACTGAGAAAGGAAAGTTTAGTTGTGTTTAATTTTAAATAATTTAAATAAAAGGAGGTTGCTATACAGACAGTGCAGAGACTGAGAATACAATAATCTTTTCATGGGATTGTTCTAATACAAAAACTAAATTAATTTTGTACCAAATCTAAGCTTGTCCATCCTAGGATTTTTCTCATGCTTACTCATTACATGCATCCCACTTAAGCTGGAACAGAAAGGAGGAAAGCAATGATTCTGAGGAAGACATCTACCAAAGCTAAAAATAAAAAGGTGGGGCTTCTCATCCTCACTTTGACATCAAATTAGTCACCCAGTCCTGGTTGTTGTGCCCTACAGTATCTCTCAGATGTACTGCCTACTTCATGTGCTGTTTGTCTTCCACTATTGTTCTGATTCCATTATCATCACCCTTAGCCCACACACAAAGAAGAGTCACCATGAGTCACCCCCACACAAAGACAATAGAGGGCTAGCCTGCTGAAAACAACTCTACTGATGTTCTCTCTTCTCAGAAACCACTGTTGTCTACTTACTAGTTGCATACAGACTAAACCAGAGCCCCTAGTCTGGATTTTAAAGTTTCCCTGTATAGGCTGAATTTTGTGCCTGCTTAATCTGACCTTCAAATTCCCATGTTGAAGATCTAGCCTACAGTAGTATCAATACCTGACCAGATCTGAGATAATTCACATAGTGATGCTTGAGTTAAAGTGGGTTCAATAGGGTGGCCCTTAATCTAATCTGACTGGTGTCCTTATGAGATGTGGACACACAGAGAAATGTGAGCCATGTACAGAGACCATATGAAGACACACCCAGAAGAGGCCATGTGCAAGAAAAGGCAAACAAGTGAAGCTTGCTCTACTGATAGCTTGCCCTTGGACTTCCAGACTTCAGAACTGTGACAAAATAAATCTGTTACTTATGCTGTTGAGTCATGGTGTTTGTTACCACAGCCTAGCAATCAAATAAATTGGCCATTTAGCCCAATCTGTGTGTTGTCTAACTGGTCATCTAATGCTTTTGCTCACCTGGCCATAAACCCTAAGACCAAGCCTACTTCTCACATAATGGATGGTTTCTGTTGGGACCACTTGTGTTGATTGTTTCTAGATCCAGCTCAACCCTCATCCTCTGTCATCGGGGAAGCTATCTCAGGTGGATGGTCCTCCCTTAGCTCTCTGCTGATCCTACATCTTCAACTGTATCCTCCTCTTCTCCTGCTTGATGTTGTTGGAGGATCATGAGCAAACTGTTAAGAAAGAATGCCCTTCCAAGCCTCTTTCCTGTGGGCCACTGAAGCACATCTATATGACAAGTAAGATGATACTGGAAGATGTTAGGTGGAGTTTAAGAAAGGCCTCTACATGGGCTGTAGATGGAGCTGACATTTGTTTTCTCTGCCTTTCACTCGCTTCCATTCTTTTTCCTTGGAGTAAACATAGTTTCCAGAGTACTTACCTCGAAACCACAGGGACTGTTAAGATCTAAAATGTTCTCAGTTCATGAAAATAATATGTGAAATGAGGAATATGTCAGCTATCTTGATTTAATAATTTCATAATGTATCCAATGATGATACAGTAATGCCATAGTCAAAGTTAGACTACGCATATTGCAGTCTCATAAGGTAAATAATGGAGTTAAAAATTCCTATCACCTGATGACATCATAGCCCTAATGACATCATAGACAGCTTTTCAGTCTGGTGTAGTGATGCTGGTATCATTTAACCTTCTGCACCTTCAAACATATAAAGTATATCCCACACAATGCATATATACTATACAATACCATACTATACTATACTATACTTTTAAATACTTATTTTAGAGAATGTGCTTTATGGTAAAATAGTAGTTTACTATAAAGTGGCATAACATACATTATCCATCTCACACTTATCATGGTTCTTGATTAGATTTAAAGGTTACCTGGAAACTATGTACAATAGCTCACACCTGTAATCTCTGCAATTGGGAAGTTGAGACAGGAGGTTTGCCATGAATTTCAGGACAGGGAATAAGGTAGAAGGTGATAGAGGAGGATACCCAACTTTCTACTCTGACCTGCATGAGTACTCATGATGTTTGTTTATTGGTAACACATGTGTACATGCACATTGCACACATGTGCACACACCCATGGATAGAGATGAGAGAGAGAGATCGAGATCATATTGAGTGCATAACCCATCCACCTATGTGTGTTTACATGTACTCTGTGATGTTTGTGCAATGATAAAAATGTCTAATAACACAATTCTCACAACATACCCCCAGTAGTAAACATCATGTAACTGTATTCATATCAAACCATCACACCATGGGCCATGTTTTATTGTTGCTTGCTCCTTCATAAAGCCAAAGGGAAATACACTATACAGAAATTTGGCCCTAGATTATTCAAAAGCCTTGAAGAAGCACAAACCACATGTGCTTCTGACATTCTTGACATACAAGAAAAATGAAGTCCTTCCTTGTATATGGAATTTATTTATTTTTTAACCAGATTCTTTCTGCCCAATGACATGTGATTCCTGACAGACATGTGGTACTCTGTTTTCTAGTGTCTCACAGTCTGGAGTTCCTCAGATATGTGCACTATTCTCATCTGTTAGAGGTTCTCTGAGGATAGAAGGCCCTGATTTTATCTTGTGTCTCCTACCTGTTCTGGCTATGGGATGTGTTCAATGAATGCTATGGAATTGTCTGAAGTTTTGTGAATCTTAGCAGAGGGGAAATGCCCTCTTTAGCCCCATCATCTCTGAAATGTTTGTTCTTCCGCAGATTTCAGTGTAAGAACATAGATAGACCAAATGGTATGCCTTCAACCACATTCATATGCACTGTCTTGTTGAATGGCTAGTTTTACTTATCTGTCAACTCTTTGGACAAAGGTGGAGCTGGAGAATTGGGCAGTCTAACAGCCCAATTATAAAATATACACACAGACGCTTATATTATTTAAACTGTTTGGCCTAATGGCTCAGGCTTCTAGCTATTTAGTTCTTACATCTTAAATTAATTCATTTCTATAAATCTAGACCTTGCCACATGGCTCATGGCTTACTGGCATCTTCCCATGCTGCTTATCATGGCAGCGGCTGGCAGTGTCTCTCTCTACCTTACTGTTCTCTCAATTCTTCTCTCTGTGAGTCCCGCCTATACTTCCTGCCTGGCCACTGGCCAATCAGTTTTTTATTTATTGACTAATCAGAGCAATTTGACATACAGACCATCCCACAGCACAAAGGTATTTAAATTATACTATTTTTGTCTCAGTTTTTATCCTCCAGACAAACCATCAGGTCCTACTTTGCCACAAGTACATCTTACTCAGTAGAAGAAAGGCACATTTTAACAGAAGATGAGAAAAACTTAGCCTTTGTATCAGTCAGCTTGGGATGCCATAACAAGTACCACAGATTGGGAGTCTTGGTACAAATGTATCCTTCACAGTTCTGGATATTGAAGTCTGAGGTGAAGGCGAGAACAGGGTTGGTTATTCCTGTGTCTGATCCTATTTGCTCTCAGGGAGCCTCTTCATATGTTCATATCATCTTTTCTCTCATCACATGTACCCTCACAACTCTCTGACATAAGTCAGGCTGACTTAGAGCCCTGTTGTAGGACCCCTCCTTAAAGGTCATTTCTGTATATAAGGTCACATTCTGGGGTACTGGGAATTAAGATTTCAGCATATGCACTGGGAGCATAATTCAACCCATGCAGCCTTCACATGTGGCTTAAATTATGTGTGCAGAGAATACAATTAGAATTTAAGGCATGTCAAAGAACCCCAAGCCTCCACTGTAGAGATAAAAAAGACCCTCCTGTGTTTTAGCCACTGAGTTGGGCTTGGAGTGGATGGGCTGCTTTCTGGAACATTCCATGAAGAAGTAAAGGTGAGAACACAGAGACATTCCATTGAAACAAGGACACAGTAGCATATTCATCTCTGGTCATTGTACTATACAATACTTCCTTAGATGTTTCCCAAAGAGTCACTGAGTATGTGGACTGTTGAGCAGCATTTTATGATGAAGGTTTTGCAGCCAAGTAAATCTGGGGAATTGAAAGAAGGAAAGAAAGAAAGAAAGAAAGAAAGAAAGAAAGAAAGAAAGAAAGAAAG